TTTTGACCTGTTTGTACTTTACTTGGAGTTCAGTATTGGTGCATCAGCCTTTTTTGCATTTTACTCTGTAGCCTCTTGGGTTTTAAAGATATTTAATTTAAACCGAAACGTAACAGAACATATATGTTCTGTATAATGTATACATTGTCCAGTCTTTTCTATAGGTACACTTGAATGACCTACTTAATTTAAAATAAACAAAAATAATAAGGTAAATGTCAACGTTAAAATAAAATACAAAATACTAAAGGTAAAACTAAGACCAACCTTCATTTTTTTATACAGGGTGTTTCTTTTAACTTGAGACAGCTCAATATCTCGAGAAATACGCATTTCACGGAAAAATGTCTTAAATAAAAGGTTAATGTGACTAAAGGGGACATTATTTGGTGCTACCGCTAGCCACCCCCTACCCCTCCTTAAGGGTGAAACGGGGGGGTAACTTTGGAAAGTCAAATGGAATGACCCGATTTTTTTCACAGAGTTTGGTAGTACATAAAAAAATAAATAACTTTTATTTAAAACTTTTTTCAATTTATCAACAGATGGCGCTGTAATTCAAAATTTAAGAAAAATGAGTTTCCTTGTAAAATGTATTATTTGAAACGTTTGAAAAACAAAAATTAACATTAACAATAATAGTCAGCTATGAAAACAAATGTTCGAAATATCGTCATTCCATTTCAACACATTTTTGAATGCGGGTAATGAATTCTGGCACACAACGCGCCAACATATCGGGCGGTATCACCATGTCCTCCCAAGTTGTAGGAATTGCAGCGTAAACTTTTTCTTTCAAGTAACCCCACTGGAAGAAGTCTGGTGGCGTAAGATCAGGTGATCGAGCAGGCCTACCGATCCACCGCGGTGCACCGGCCATTGAACTCCCGATCCAACACCTCTCGAGCAATTGTCGAATAATGTGCAGGACAACCATCTTGCTGGTACCACATGTTTTGGAGCCGTGCTAGTGGTACATCCTTCAAAAGGTCCGTCAGATCGTTTTCTAGAAAATTCCGGTACTTTTCGCCATTTAATGCACCGTCAATAAAGAAGGGTCCGATTAATCGTTCGCTTAAGGTACCGCACCAAACGTTTACCGACCAGGGACGCTGGTGCTCCACTTGGTGTCGAAATGGAAGGACGAAATTTCGAACATTTGTTATAAATTCTTTTTAAGAGCCGACTATTGTTGATTTAATGTTAATTTTTGTTTTTCAAACGTTTCAAATAATACATTTTACAAGGAAACCCCTTTTTCTTAAATTTTGAATTACAGCGCCATCTGTTGATAAATTGAAAAAAACTTTCAAATAAAAGTTGTTCATTTTTTATGTACTACCAAACTCTGTGAAAAAAATCGGGTCATTCCATTTGACTTTCCAAAGTTACCCCCCATTTCACCCTTAAGGAGGGGTAGGGGGTGGCTAGCGGTAGCACCAAATAATGTCCCCTTTGGTCACATTAACCTTTTATTTAAGACATTTTCCCGTGAAATGCGTATTTCTCGAGATATTGAGCTGTCTCAAGTTAAAAGAAACACCCTGTATAGTCTTTATAGTATTCTACTTCACTAAAAAGTTTTAGGCCTTAGAGTTTCATCCTGGCATACGTGGTTTTTGTTTGAACTATCCCAACAAAATGAACGTTCACAAAAATACTGAACATCTAAAAAATATAATGAATACCTGTTTTAAACTCTCTGAGTATAGTACAAACATAGGTTAAAAAATAAAATATAAATAAATTTAGTCAGCAACCTTTTTAAATTAAATTGGTTGATTTGATTTGAATTGACCCTTGATTAGAAACGGTTTTAGCAGTTAGTAAAGAAATAAATTATTTTATTTTTATTAAGCCTAGAAAAACTGTTGTAAGGTATTAAGCCTAGAAAAACTGTTGTAAGGTAATGTCTGAAAGTACTTCCAAATAATTTGTCTAAGACACTGTTTACACAATCCAAATTATTCGGTACTTTCAAACATTAACTTGCCTGTTTCAGCTGAAATTTTACATTTCTGGGCCATTTTACGTAAGATCAAACAGTCCAATTTACCACAAAAAATTAATCTAGCCTTTCCGCCTACTAGCTGAGAAAAAAACTATTTAATAAAGGTAACTAAGAACTGCGCGTTTTTTTTTTAAATTATATATGTCAAATGTCAAAAATTAAGTTGACAAATGTCAAAAATAACAGGTGACAGATGTCAGAATTAAACTATAACTGTGTCATAAATGAGCCAAGATGTAAAAATGACAAATGTAATTAATAACAGCTCATTTGGTTTCGTGTTTTCGTTTAATAGGTAATTTTTGTCACCTGTCATTTTTGGCATGTGGCACCTGTAGAGATGTGACATAAAAAAACGTTTTTTTTTCAAGATTAGTCCTATTTGCCTTATTTTTTATTTTCCAGTCCAGTTTTGATTTGGTCTTAAGAAAAGTAACTACCTATAATATTTTTGATTCAGCGCTTGATTTTCCAAAAAGCTACCAAAAGCCTTTTTTACCCAGCTATAAAAAATTGACCGTATAAAATCTAATAACTAATAACTGACATAATGTTTTTCTGAATCAGCACAAAATTTTACTTTAACAGAAGTGTTTCTGGTTAAACGAGGAATGTTGTAAACTGGTGTTATTAGTTTAGTAAATATTTTAATATCCAGTACTCATATACATAATTATTTATTTAATTCTTGTTGATGTATTGGTCTAACTCTTTAATTAACTTTTTGGAAGTAATTGTATTTATATTTTTACTAAATTCAATTAAATATGGTTGTAATTACATACAGATTTTGTATATTAAGTTAATATTCTTAACCTAGTTTTTTTAAGTAAAAATATCAATTTGTTTGTCTTCGGTAAATTAACAAAGTAATTTAAAAACTTAAGTTCGTCGCACCAAACTACGAAAATGGAATAATACTCGTGATTTATGTCTTAAAACTTTAAGATAAATATGTGTACATCCATTTGTTCAACAATCTATTTAGTTCAAAATTTAAAAAATCCGTTGGTTTTAAGTAACCAAATATTTTTGTACCAACGCATCATATTTATAGAGCTATTATTTTATAACTAGGTAATAATGATTACTGGTCCTTAAGTCTATTATGACAAATATACAGCTTTACCAAAATCCAAATAGGTTGAATTTATGTTACATATCAGCTTTTATCGTGTACATTAATGTAATATAAAACAATAGAGGAAGAACCATAATGCTGACTGTGTTATATGAATTAATTTATTGTTTGTTTTTTACCTATAAAATACATAATATGAAGGTCAGTGATTTCATTATTAACTTCTGGTTTATGGTGACCAGTCATTTAATGGTCATGGTCGTACTAACATTATTGGGTATTTGAAAAAAAAATATTTATCGATTTTTTAATATATTTTAAAACTTTATTGCGAATAATATTGATATTCTATGTGAATATAAATAATGTTTTTAATCGATGTAAAAGATTAAAAAAAAGATAACAGCTTATTATAAAATTAAAAAAAAAAACGTTTCTGACGTCATTATTTTAAAATCTTAGGTTAAAATGTTTATGATATAGTACTTAACAGCTGTCCACGGCTTTTACCTGTGTATCTTCCGTAAAAATAATGAAATTTGGAGCAAAAAAATATTGTTGCCAACTAATGTAATTTAGTAATTTATAACAAAGGGTTTATAAAGGCCAATTCTGGTAATATGCCTGGGGTGTGGATATATTTATGGTCACTGATTTCCTTAAAAATTATATTGGGTTTAATTCAGCTCAAGTTCAAGGTGCTACAGCATCAATGATATTGATTTTTTAACACCTCGAATGGACCTAAGTTAAAAAACAAATAATAGGGTACATGTAAACAAATAATAGGGTACATGTAAACAAGAAACAAACTATTTTTATCAGGGTGTTATCGGTAGTGGGTTCATTTATTTAAATTTTGTTTAATTAATATAATTATGATATATTATGTATATTAATTAATTATAATAATTATAATTATAACGGAAATATTAATAATAATAATAATGTTTGTTAAATAACTCTAATCTTTTTATAATCCATTTATGACAAAACAACCTAGGTAACCTCAATAAAATGCAGCATACATACAGAGTGTTAGGTAAACAATTACCACAAAGCTGCCCTGCCAAGTTCAAAGCCCGTATCTACAATATTAAGTTATAAGGACAACATAGCATTGTAACTACGGGCTTATAGCTTAGCAAGGCAGAAAGTATGTCATCAAAAAAACTAACAATTCTTATATTTTTAAATAATAATATGTACTTAATAAAAAAAAATATTTGAAATTAAATATCATAGTCAATTTTCCTAAAAATAGTATATTAAAAAGTATGTGCGGTAAGACCTTTTTATAACTCGGAAAATATCACAAGCACAAATTAGAAATTGTAAAATTATAAAAAAAATAAAACCATCCAATAAAAGGAACATTAAATATATAACTTAGTTTCCCTTAAGAGAAACGTACATATGGTAAAGTTTACTTACATTCCCAACCACGTATTTTGTTTTTTTTTATATACAGGTATCCTGAAAATGGCTTCACCATACCTTATTAGGCATTTTAGTTAAAAAAAATAACTGGGCAACCCTTTGTTTGTAATGAGCCGAAATATTACGCATATGAAATTGTTATGGATACAATTTAAATATGGCAGGTGAAGTTAACAGGTTTCCCAGATATATTTTTTGACTGTTCGTTATTGCAATTTTTAACTTTTTATTTTTAAAACTTCCTTAGAATATTATTATTGATTCTTTTATTTAAATAAATAGTCTTAACATTAACAACCATTAACAAAACAAAAATAAAATTTAATTTTAAAAACCTCGTGCGTCATTTTACACTGTATAATTTTATTTAATTAAGTATGATTTTATTAAAAAAATAGCATGGATAGCAATAGATAGGATTTTTAATAGTTTTTGTTAATGAAACAAACTCGTTTTTTGTGGGTTTACCTGAAATGATTTCGAATCTCTGACATTTGGCACTGAATTTGTACTTCTGATTCTTTTGGCGTGTCCTGTCGCTTCTCTGCATATTCTTGAATACAGAAAAAGGAGAATCACCCAAACAGTTGCAAATAATGGGCAAACAAAAAAGTTTATAAAACCCTCGGGAAGAACTTTGATGATTTCACATGATACACCCTCTTGCCAATCGTTCCAAAAAATAATCGTCAAAATAATGGAAAATGACAAACTCCAAACAAACACTATCATCACTAAGGACGTCCTTCTTGTCATATACCTCGTATACAGAAAAGGGTAAACTATGGCCAAGTATCGGTCAGTTGCTATGCACAAAAGATTGAGGATCGAGCTGGCCATCGCGAAGCTAATCAGGGCAAAACGCAAAAGACATTTAACTTGGCTATTGCCGAACGAATTCACCCAATAAAATGCCATATGATATGGTATCGATAAACCCACTAATAAGTCACTAACCGCCAAACTAAAAATAAACTGATTAGCCACCAGGCCGGACAACTTCTTCGTGTATATTATCGCCGCCATGGTCAGGATGTTTCCTGCAAGGGTGGACGCTGTCAAGAATAGGTTTAAGGCTAACCAGAGTTTGCCTCCCAAGTACATGTCTTCCTCCAAGAAGATGGTCTCATTTATTTCTGTGGAATTGTTCATTTTTTAAATTTTAACGCGCACATCACCACTGTCGTTTTAATATATTTTTAATTAACAATGGGCCGTGGTTATTAAGTTTCATTCCAAAAAAAAAACAGCCATCGTTTTAAGTTCTCCGAATTTGAGTTTGACGGCATGTTATTTGTTCGCGATAATGTGTTTGCGTATGGTTTAAACGCAGCGCCCGATGGTCTGCGATCGACTGTGCGGCTTCATGAACGATGGTATCAAGTTTTGTTGTATGCGGTAACATCTACAACTCTACCACGCGTTTATACATTTCTCACGTTTCTTTCAATAACAAACAAATTTTTGATTGAATGGGTTTTCGTGTTTTATTTCGGCTACTATTTTGATTTGCTTCATTGTTATTCTTTGTTCATTTCTACTACTTATGCCTACAGGCAAAGTGTATTTATCTCGAGGACAGGACTAGTGTTGATATGATTTTTGTTTGTACATACATAATACATTACAGGCCCGGTGTAATTCAAAATTTAAGAAAAATGAGTTTCCTTGTAAAATGTATTATTTGAAACGTTTGAAAAACAAAAATTAACATTAACAATAATAGTCAGCTATGAAAACAAATGTTCGAAATATCGTCATTCCATTTCAACACATTTTTGAATGCGGGTAATGAATTCTGGCACACAACGCGCCAACATATCGGGCGGTATCACCATGTCCTCCCAAGTTGTAGGAATTGCAGCGTAAACTTTTTCTTTCAAGTAACCCCACTGGAAGAAGTCTGGTGGCGTAAGATCAGGTGATCGAGCAGGCCTACCGATCCACCGCGGTGCACCGGCCATTGAACTCCCGATCCAACACCTCTCGAGCAATTGTCGAATAATGTGCAGGACAACCATCTTGCTGGTACCACATGTTTTGGAGCCGTGCTAGTGGTACATCCTTCAAAAGGTCCGTCAGATCGTTTTCTAGAAAATTCCGGTACTTTTCGCCATTTAATGCACCGTCAATAAAGAAGGGTCCGATTAATCGTTCGCTTAAGGTACCGCACCAAACGTTTACCGACCAGGGACGCTGGTGCTCCACTTGGTGTCGAAATGGAAGGACGAAATTTCGAACATTTGTTATAAATTCTTTTTAAGAGCCGACTATTGTTGATTTAATGTTAATTTTTGTTTTTCAAACGTTTCAAATAATACATTTTACAAGGAAACCCCTTTTTCTTAAATTTTGAATTACAGCGCCATCTGTTGATAAATTGAAAAAAACTTTCAAATAAAAGTTGTTCATTTTTTATGTACTACCAAACTCTGTGAAAAAAATCGGGTCATTCCATTTGACTTTCCAAAGTTACCCCCCATTTCACCCTTAAGGAGGGGTAGGGGGTGGCTAGCGGTAGCACCAAATAATGTCCCCTTTGGTCACATTAACCTTTTATTTAAGACATTTTCCCGTGAAATGCGTATTTCTCGAGATATTGAGCTGTCTCAAGTTAAAAGAAACACCCTGTATAGTCTTTATAGTATTCTACTTCACTAAAAAGTTTTAGGCCTTAGAGTTTCATCCTGGCATACGTGGTTTTTGTTTGAACTATCCCAACAAAATGAACGTTCACAAAAATACTGAACATCTAAAAAATATAATGAATACCTGTTTTAAACTCTCTGAGTATAGTACAAACATAGGTTAAAAAATAAAATATAAATAAATTTAGTCAGCAACCTTTTTAAATTAAATTGGTTGATTTGATTTGAATTGACCCTTGATTAGAAACGGTTTTAGCAGTTAGTAAAGAAATAAATTATTTTATTTTTATTAAGCCTAGAAAAACTGTTGTAAGGTATTAAGCCTAGAAAAACTGTTGTAAGGTAATGTCTGAAAGTACTTCCAAATAATTTGTCTAAGACACTGTTTACACAATCCAAATTATTCGGTACTTTCAAACATTAACTTGCCTGTTTCAGCTGAAATTTTACATTTCTGGGCCATTTTACGTAAGATCAAACAGTCCAATTTACCACAAAAAATTAATCTAGCCTTTCCGCCTACTAGCTGAGAAAAAAACTATTTAATAAAGGTAACTAAGAACTGCGCGTTTTTTTTTTAAATTATATATGTCAAATGTCAAAAATTAAGTTGACAAATGTCAAAAATAACAGGTGACAGATGTCAGAATTAAACTATAACTGTGTCATAAATGAGCCAAGATGTAAAAATGACAAATGTAATTAATAACAGCTCATTTGGTTTCGTGTTTTCGTTTAATAGGTAATTTTTGTCACCTGTCATTTTTGGCATGTGGCACCTGTAGAGATGTGACATAAAAAAACGTTTTTTTTCAAGATTAGTCCTATTTGCCTTATTTTTTATTTTCCAGTCCAGTTTTGATTTGGTCTTAAGAAAAGTAACTACCTATAATATTTTTGATTCAGCGCTTGATTTTCCAAAAAGCTACCAAAAGCCTTTTTTACCCAGCTATAAAAAATTGACCGTATAAAATCTAATAACTAATAACTGACATAATGTTTTTCTGAATCAGCACAAAATTTTACTTTAACAGAAGTGTTTCTGGTTAAACGAGGAATGTTGTAAACTGGTGTTATTAGTTTAGTAAATATTTTAATATCCAGTACTCATATACATAATTATTTATTTAATTCTTGTTGATGTATTGGTCTAACTCTTTAATTAACTTTTTGGAAGTAATTGTATTTATATTTTTACTAAATTCAATTAAATATGGTTGTAATTACATACAGATTTTGTATATTAAGTTAATATTCTTAACCTAGTTTTTTTAAGTAAAAATATCAATTTGTTTGTCTTCGGTAAATTAACAAAGTAATTTAAAAACTTAAGTTCGTCGCACCAAACTACGAAAATGGAATAATACTCGTGATTTATGTCTTAAAACTTTAAGATAAATATGTGTACATCCATTTGTTCAACAATCTATTTAGTTCAAAATTTAAAAAATCCGTTGGTTTTAAGTAACCAAATATTTTTGTACCAACGCATCATATTTATAGAGCTATTATTTTATAACTAGGTAATAATGATTACTGGTCCTTAAGTCTATTATGACAAATATACAGCTTTACCAAAATCCAAATAGGTTGAATTTATGTTACATATCAGCTTTTATCGTGTACATTAATGTAATATAAAACAATAGAGGAAGAACCATAATGCTGACTGTGTTATATGAATTAATTTATTGTTTGTTTTTTACCTATAAAATACATAATATGAAGGTCAGTGATTTCATTATTAACTTCTGGTTTATGGTGACCAGTCATTTAATGGTCATGGTCGTACTAACATTATTGGGTATTTGAAAAAAAAATATTTATCGATTTTTTAATATATTTTAAAACTTTATTGCGAATAATATTGATATTCTATGTGAATATAAATAATGTTTTTAATCGATGTAAAAGATTAAAAAAAAGATAACAGCTTATTATAAAATTAAAAAAAAAACGTTTCTGACGTCATTATTTTAAAATCTTAGGTTAAAATGTTTATGATATAGTACTTAACAGCTGTCCACGGCTTTTACCTGTGTATCTTCCGTAAAAATAATGAAATTTGGAGCAAAAAAATATTGTTGCCAACTAATGTAATTTAGTAATTTATAACAAAGGGTTTATAAAGGCCAATTCTGGTAATATGCCTGGGGTGTGGATATATTTATGGTCACTGATTTCCTTAAAAATTATATTGGGTTTAATTCAGCTCAAGTTCAAGGTGCTACAGCATCAATGATATTGATTTTTTAACACCTCGAATGGACCTAAGTTAAAAAACAAATAATAGGGTACATGTAAACAAATAATAGGGTACATGTAAACAAGAAACAAACTATTTTTATCAGGGTGTTATCGGTAGTGGGTTCATTTATTTAAATTTTGTTTAATTAATATAATTATGATATATTATGTATATTAATTAATTATAATAATTATAATTATAACGGAAATATTAATAATAATAATAATGTTTGTTAAATAACTCTAATCTTTTTATAATCCATTTATGACAAAACAACCTAGGTAACCTCAATAAAATGCAGCATACATACAGAGTGTTAGGTAAACAATTACCACAAAGCTGCCCTGCCAAGTTCAAAGCCCGTATCTACAATATTAAGTTATAAGGACAACATAGCATTGTAACTACGGGCTTATAGCTTAGCAAGGCAGAAAGTATGTCATCAAAAAAACTAACAATTCTTATATTTTTAAATAATAATATGTACTTAATAAAAAAAAATATTTGAAATTAAATATCATAGTCAATTTTCCTAAAAATAGTATATTAAAAAGTATGTGCGGTAAGACCTTTTTATAACTCGGAAAATATCACAAGCACAAATTAGAAATTGTAAAATTATAAAAAAAATAAAACCATCCAATAAAAGGAACATTAAATATATAACTTAGTTTCCCTTAAGAGAAACGTACATATGGTAAAGTTTACTTACATTCCCAACCACGTATTTTGTTTTTTTTTATATACAGGTATCCTGAAAATGGCTTCACCATACCTTATTAGGCATTTTAGTTAAAAAAAATAACTGGGCAACCCTTTGTTTGTAATGAGCCGAAATATTACGCATATGAAATTGTTATGGATACAATTTAAATATGGCAGGTGAAGTTAACAGGTTTCCCAGATATATTTTTTGACTGTTCGTTATTGCAATTTTTAACTTTTTATTTTTAAAACTTCCTTAGAATATTATTATTGATTCTTTTATTTAAATAAATAGTCTTAACATTAACAACCATTAACAAAACAAAAATAAAATTTAATTTTAAAAACCTCGTGCGTCATTTTACACTGTATAATTTTATTTAATTAAGTATGATTTTATTAAAAAAATAGCATGGATAGCAATAGATAGGATTTTTAATAGTTTTTGTTAATGAAACAAACTCGTTTTTTGTGGGTTTACCTGAAATGATTTCGAATCTCTGACATTTGGCACTGAATTTGTACTTCTGATTCTTTTGGCGTGTCCTGTCGCTTCTCTGCATATTCTTGAATACAGAAAAAGGAGAATCACCCAAACAGTTGCAAATAATGGGCAAACAAAAAAGTTTATAAAACCCTCGGGAAGAACTTTGATGATTTCACATGATACACCCTCTTGCCAATCGTTCCAAAAAATAATCGTCAAAATAATGGAAAATGACAAACTCCAAACAAACACTATCATCACTAAGGACGTCCTTCTTGTCATATACCTCGTATACAGAAAAGGGTAAACTATGGCCAAGTATCGGTCAGTTGCTA